TGACTCCTTATTTCTCCAAATAGGAAATTTAAAATAGGAAGTCTCTTGGAGATGCTCTAATATAAAGTTATAAAACAACCCTTTCGAAACGGTCCCCCCAAAAAATCATACGCTTGAAATTTCTGCGCAGTCACTTGGAATGTTTCACGAGAATAAGCTCGAGAAGTGGTCGTTCCATCTCCCTGCACGAATTCGAAAAAATAAATGATTTATATTTTATACGAATCCTAAAAAAAGAATAAAAAATTTAAAGGCATGTGATCAAAATTTTCGATGCCAACAAAATGAGGTCTTTAATAGCTACTGTGATTGATCGAGTCCAACATCATTATCAAACAATAAATCATAAAACAAAACGAGAGGCATAAAAAACAACTAAAAATAGTTAAGGGCTTCGGAAAATAATTAGCAGTTTGATAAATGGTCGTGTTTGGAACTTATCTCGTTGAATTGGATAAGCTGATTATGCAAAGTGTTTGGTAAATAATTAGCAGCTTGATATCTAAAAAAACCGCTCATTTTACCATCATTTTATTCAAAAAAAATAAAAACTCATGCATTGTTTTTTTTTTGGGAAATTAGCTTTTTGAATCTAAGAAACTATTTATGTATTTCAATACCCTATTTACTATAAAATTAATTAAATTAGAGATTCTGATATGTCAAACTCTAATTCTCCTTAAACCTCTAATTTATTCCCAAAACGTAGTTTACGAAAACTGAGTCCATGTAAAAGAAATTAGCACTAATGTTTTACTCTATAAAACTGTACAAAAATTGAGGGTACTACAGTGGGCTTGTTAACCCATATGGGCTTGATGCTGCAGTGGGCCTTTTGGGTTCCCAATTTCCCATTAAGGCTCCAACTACTTAACTTGATTGGCGCAGTTCAAGTCTTTATCAACTCGTTAACGGTTGGAGTATCACTTGTGAGTTGTCCCACATTGATTCTATAGGGAAAATAAGTTTAGTATATAAGCCAAGTGGACTACTCCTCCCATCACCAATTGGTTTTGGGATGGAACCTCACTATGGTGCACCTAGACTCACCCTCTTATTGTGTCGACTCCTGCCTAGGTTTCTATCTCTACCCGGCCAACTCCGGCCAGGGTCTCTATCTCTACTCGGCCTTCTCTGGGCTTGAGCTTATGAAGGACTCACAAGTGAAGGGGCGTGTTGGAGTATCACTTGTGAGTTGTCCCACATTGATTCTATAGGGAAAATGAGTTTAGTATATAGTCCAAGTGGACTACTCCTCCCATCACCAATTGGTTTTGGGATGGAACCTCACTATGGTGCACCTAGGCTCACCCTCTTTTGGGATGGAACCTCACTATGGTGCACCTAGGCTCACCCTCTTATTGTGCGCTTAATATGTGTGGGACCGCACTCTCTTGCCCCAATTCTCTATTCTTACATTAACTAAACAAGTTTGAGCAATTCAGTTTATCAAATATTAATGCATCGAATTCGAATCTTAACAAGTCAATCTAAGCTAAGAATTCAGAAATTTTGTAATAAAAATATATGTTCTGAAACCTTAAATAAATAAATTTTAAACGAGCTCGAACTCGACTAGCTAGTTTATCAAATGAAGCAGCTTGACTCGTTTGTGACTGGACTCAGTTAGGTATCATTTGTGTTGGATCATTCGGTCAAATTGAATAGATATTACATAGAGCTAGTTGACCCGAACCAAAAACCGATCATCGGAACAAAACAAAACCAAAATGTCGCGTAATCAAAACAAAAAAAACCGATCTGATTATTTCGGTTCGGTTAAATGACCTGTTAATATCATGGATCTTTACGTAAGCAAGCCAAATTAGCACACAAAAATGAAAAGTTCACAACATTTGATGGCACACAAAAAAACTGAAAAAATTGAAAACTCCTAACTTAATTCCTTCAAATCTTACAAACACATAACAATTCTAAACAATAATATTCAATCTCATTCACCATATATGCACACGTTAATATGGGGATTTGAATTTGATCACTCATCACAATCATCACAAAGCTCTTATAGTTCATGAAGCACTGCATAAGCTAGCCATCCCGAGAGATAAATGCAGCCCACGCATCCTAATAACAATATCGATAACCATCAAACATTCGGACATATGGTACTATATTTCACAACATAAGCAAGCAAATTTCGCATGAAAGTTAGGATATGTTTGGTAAAACTACCTGATCGCTCTATAAGCTAGCATGTAGTTTAGCTTATGACTTATAACTGAAAATCTTTTCTAGCTTATATGATAAAAGTGTTTGGTAAAATTAGGTAGCTGATATAAAAATTTCAACGAGTTTATTTGGAAATATACACTCGAAAGTTTATTATATAAGCTCGAGATGTTTAAAAAATCTCGTCCTCTCAAACGAAGTTTATTAGAATACAGGGAAGGGAAGCTTATAAGCTAACCAAATAAGCTATAAGCTAACTTAGTTAGTTACCAAACATAGCCTTAATTACCTGAAGGGTAGAAAAGACTTTTTGTGCAATGTACTTCTGCAAAAGGGTCGCGCCCTTTTGTTGGAGCTTGTCGGGATGTAGACAAAGTTGTGCTTTATGGTACGCTTTCTTCACTTGTGAGCTCTCGGTTATTTTCGTAAGAGGTATCTTGACCCAGCCGCTACTAGGCCATAGAATCTAAAACGAGTTCAAATAAGAATATTTGTGACTACATATATTAATAATATTGAACGAAATTTGAAGTTGTATTTATTTTATATCAACAGATACGGTTTTGCTATGGAGCTATCGGATGGCTCGGCTTATGGAGTCATCCATAGTCATCCACAAATAGTGTACAGACACGTGTCCTGCAATAAATACAGAATAGACACGTGTCAATACATAAAGTTATGGATTGTTCCATAGAGAAAACCATCTGATGGCTCCATAGCATTCCTGTCAACCGATATATGAAATAAAATATTCGCCATTTCGAAATATAGGTTGTCGCATTTTTAATTGTTATCACGTACGTGATGCATAGATGATAACAGCATCCGAATGTCGGCTTCTTTACCGGTAGACCACAGCTTTATCTTTTCATCGATTATTATCTGCATTTTCGAGATTTATGAACTGAGCATTCATTTTTTTCAATGAAAAATCGATTAAAACGTTGACATGATATATACATACTCTGTTCGTTTTTTCTTCTTCGGCAGCACATTCATCCTTTATTTCAATGTCCTACAAGAAGAGAGTGAAAAACAAATAGACAAACATGCAATATACTTGTAAATAAAATTTGTATTACTTAGCTAGTTGGTGAAGTTGATTATTATAAGATTAGATCAGCTGATAATTTGGCAAATAATATACCAGTGACTGAAAAGTCTCTGTTTGCCCATCTGAAAGCTGAAGCTCAGTTGCAATTTCTGCATAGTTTTGCAGCCATTTTTATCATGTTAGATAAACTTGGAACCTCACGGTCGAAAGCCGAAATAATTAAGAAAACAAAGAGAGAAAATTAGTTGAAAACATGTGTACTTCAGAAAACCAACATAGAACTAATAGAGATGTTTTTGCTGAGAAGTATGACACTTGACAATACAAATGTATACATTCTTCTTAAAAAAAAAAAGACTAAAATGCAATTCTGGTCCTATTAGATTATGAATGAAGCAATTTAATTCTCACTGAAGTGACATATAGCAATTTTAGTCGACAATTTAATAATTTGTTCCAATTTCAGTCTTCTGATGATTGAAATTACAACAAAAGTTTAAATTAAAGGATTTAAATTGCTCATAAAAAATCCGTTTAAATATATTATTTTAGAATTTTTAAGTCATGTAATTAAAATATTTTGCTCCAATTTCAGTCATCAAAATTGCAGCAAAATATAAATTTCAAGACTTAAATTGATATATGTCACTACAATGTGACCTAAATTGCTACATTCATATTACACTAAATTGCTATATTCATAATCTGATAGAACCAAAACTGTATTTTAGCTTAAGAAAAAGTAGAAGGATCTACTGTCTAACAGTCAGACCACCTCATAACACTACAAAAAAAAACTCTTACATTCCAACGGAAATTTTCCGTTGGAACTCTTTACATTTTCCGTTAGAATAGCTATTCCAAGGGATATTCCTACGTATAAAAATTCGTGGAAAAAACGACCGTTGGTATAACTAAAATCCAACGGAAAATCCTATAGAAATAAATTCCTACAATAATTCAAACGGAAAAAATCCGTTGGAATTCCTCAACCATCCAACACTTATTCCAACATAAAATTAAGTTTGTTGGAATATTCATTGGAATTTCCAACGGAAATTTTTGCCGTAGGAATTTTCTGTTGGAATTGAAGTGTTTTCTTGTAGTGTAAGTACTCTTTCAGCTAACTATATATATAACCTTTTGTAGACTTCTCTTTATGAGACTTCTCTTTGACCCACGCGATGGCTTCATCCACGCCGTTGGTTTCCTCGAATGTCCATTCGCCTTTGCCTAAATCGAACTCGATCAATGAGCTCATGCTTTCATCATCATTATCATCATTTATTTCATAGTCCCGGGTTTTCGTCTGACCAGTTTCCGACCGACAAGTAGACGAAGATGAAACCGGCGAATTGAATTTCCGTTCGTCGTCCGATTTTTCGAAACTATCACTCGACAGTATAGGCTCAGTGTTCGTGGGCTCGGGAGATGCATTTTTTTTCCGGCTTGGTTCGAGAGGCCGGTTTTTCATGTACTCGAAGAAATCAATTTCCGAAATGTTACGGTTGTTATAGTTGGCCTCTCGGAAAGGCCTCGATCGGCATTTTTCGCGACCCGGCTTGCCGGAGTTCCATCTGGATGGGACGTTTATTGGCCTGAAAATTGATAGACAGAATTCAGTTTTGTATACTACATAAATTTTACTAGCACTTTTCAAAATACATCTCTATTCAAAAGGTTTGATGTAAATTAAAATTCTAAAATAATTATAAAAAAAAATACCAAAAAATGGAAACACTAGAAAAACTTATAATAGCTAGAAATCTAAATGAAGAGCCTAAAATTCAAAGCAGAATACAACACTTGATGAACTTAATATTGTTATTAATTTTTCATATATGATTTTACCAAATTCGATATCTCTTGACCAATTGTTAATTGACATTCATATTGCATATAATATAATAATCATATTAAACGTTATTATCAAAAGTAAATTATCAATTAACACTAATTAGAAAATAATAAAATTATTTATTAATTAAATTTGTCTATAAAGTCAGTATACGTGATATGAGTTAGAAAAATTATTATAATATAAACGGTGAAGTCGTACAACTGATGAGTGTCTTTTTAAATACAAATAAAAATTATACTTTTTAAAAAATATTTGTAAATTAAAACAAATACTTCCCTCTCTTTTATTTTTGTAATTTAAGTATAAATTTTCTTTACTAGCATTCGCGTAATAATGAGTGTTACACTAGTTAACATAAAAGACTAAGAACAAGAACGTTTAAACTCCACAACTAAGTTATATTTTTACAATTAATCTCCTTGAATTTGCACAAATTTATGTTTTGCTTCTATATAAAAATAATTAAAATATAAAATTCTAAGTCATAGTCGAGTATTCATATAGTCATACGTGTTGTAAACGAACTGAATCGATTACTCAACTATTTAATTCAAATATGGGAAAATACTCGAACATTTGTATTCTTATTCGATTTGCTATTGAATACAATTCATGATTACATTCGATTTTTTCTAAGATAATCGAGTATATTTCTTTCGATTGATATTTGTTGTAAGAAATTATTTATAAATGCATAATATATTTATTTTGTATTAATAAAGTAGTAATAAATATATCAAAAGATACTTAAGAGAAAATAACTATTTTCACTCCGTTCTGAAATGAATGAGTTTTTTTACGCCGCTGGATAAAAAGTTAACTTTTTCACCTCAGAAAGTTCAAAAGTAGTATGTGATAATTATGCAACAATTGTGCGATCGACATTGTGCGAAAGTTAAAATTACGAAAGCATTCACATAACGTTTCACATATTTTATTGTGAATATACAACAGTTGTATATGCAACGGATATGTGACCATTATGCAAATAATATATGAGAGTTATGCGAACCATACGAATAACTTTCGCATTTTTTTAAGCGAAAAAGTTAGATTGTTATTTAAGGTGAAAAACTTAATGTAATTTTCAGATCCAGGTGTAAAAATGCAGTCTTACTCGATATTCATGAATGCCGTATTCGAATCATATAACGAATCGAAGAAGTAAAATGTAATTTAAGAACTTAAAGTGCCAAATGAGAAGAATTAGAGGACTAAATCTGCAATTTATTAGTCCCTCAGAAATTAAACCGCACCCTTCAACGCACCTGAGCTTCGACCCGAACAAGTAGACGTCGTCGTATCCGCCGTCGGAGATCGCCGGCCGGAGAGGGCTGAGATCCTCCGAGCTCAACGCCGATGACGAGCTCGCCTTCGATCTTGATCTCGATCTCACAACACTCTCATCATCAACTTTATTATTACTGTTATTATTACTATTTTCCCAGCCAAAAATATCGCCGTAAAAGCTCCTCTGCTTTCCAAAGGGGATCTTAAATTGAGAAAATTTCCGGCCACTACTGACCGCCTCCGTCCGCCGGAAAGCATCCTCGAAGGAGAAATCCGCGGAGGAGGACGACGGCGACGCTGATCTCGGGATGCCGCCGCCGAACCGGCGGGAGAGAACCGTGCGCGGGGGCCCGCCGAAGACGTCGGCGAAGTCCTCGGGGTTCAGGTGCCCTTCGCCGGAAAGGGTCGTCCGGTGGTGGGAGGAGGTGTCGCCGGTGGATCTCCGGGGAGGGTGGTTCGGTAATTTCGGCGCGTGCGTTCCCATTCTCATTCTCCAAGACTCGTCCATTTAATTAGTATTTTTTCCGGCGAGGGTTTTGTCGCCGGAGAAAGTGATGGTTATTATTAGTAAGATGGCATGCGCAGGTGCTGCTGATATAAGTGGGATTTTCTCTGTTGCACACTTTGGGGTTATTTTGCAATTTTATTTGTTTTTTATCGGCTTTAAACGATGTCGTTCGCCTCAACTTTACATTTTTTTTAATACATGGTTAAATTAAATTTTTCTGTGATGATTGTTATGAAATAATGCAATTGGGTTACATCATTCTTGATTACCTGGAAAGCTGGTTTATATTGATGGGAAATGCTATGTACCATCCCGTCCGATATTTTAACAGTTGGATCATCTATTTTATACTAACACATGTGTATCCAACGAGTAAAACATCCGACGAGATGATACACTAAAGAAACCGCATTTCCCTTGATTGACATGTGGATTTCATCTTGGTGTGCCCCAATCATACGACTGTTGATAAATAGGTTTAAATTCTCCATTTTTTTTATATATATATATATAATACTGTTATTTTTAACCTTGTGAATTTCATTGTCACTACAAAGTTGTGAAGAGAATAAAATATTTAGATTCAATTTTATTTTCTTTTATTATTTAATTTAATTTTCTTAAATTTAATTATTTTTTGGGTGGTAATGGGAAGGATGATTGACACCTCTCATTAGGAGACAATGCATGCTTTAATTTCATCTCAACCTCGCTTTTTACAAACAAAGATAATCATTATTTCTCAAAAAGGAAATTTATTCTCCTTTGGATGCTGGTTACAGTGATTCAGGGAAGGGTTGAAGAAGATAAGACCGTCAAAAATTCAATTTTGGTCCTCAAAAGTTGGCTATTGTTCAGTTTTGATACACTAATTTTCTTCTCATATAAAAACAGTTCATTGTGTTACAATTTTTTTATCTATTTTAGTATAGTAATCCCGAAGAGCCAGATTACGTACGTGATGACGTGGAAAATTGTAACCATTCTATGTCAAAGTTCTATCCTTCCACGTCATTTCAATTCTTGTCCACGTCATAATGTAATCCGACCCTCGGGATTACTGTACTAAAATTGATGAATTGTAACATATTTGACTATTTTTTATGAGAGAAAGGTTCATGTATTAAAACTGAACAATGGCCCATTTAGAGGACCAAAATTGAATTTTTGCCAAAAAAAAAAAGAACACTCAACCAAAATGAGAAAAAAATAATTATTGATGCACCTTTATTGGAAAAAAAAAGGATGTGAAAAAATTGTCAATCGTATACGATAAACGTGCTACTAATTTAAAAGAAAAATTAAAAAAAAAAAACTGACATATAATTATAAATCAGAATATAAAATCTTGATTACCCTTAATACATATATTAGAGACATATAAATTTAATGCTTATAACGACAACCAATGTCTCTTTTACGCCTAATCTTTTAGGGAAATGTTATTGTTACGAAAACATTTCGTCGGGGTTTGTAACCGTCAGGGATAGTTGGTCTAACGGTTACAACCCCAGACAAATAGTTCCATAACGAGACCGTAGCATCTTCCAATCTTTTATCTCATTTTCTTTTTTGGTTATCCTTATCTCATTTTCTTTCGTATATTGTATGTATTTTATTTTATTATAAAATATACATTTTTTTATATGTAGTAATAATATCAATATTTAATATTTTTTAGAAGGCTTTTGGGGGCTAATTAAATTGCAAATTTAGTTGTTTGGTCAAATGGTGAAGTCACGTTGTGTCCGATATTCATGCAAGAGATGGAAAATTTCCGTCAAATTATACTTTATATTCTAATAATGCCAATCTTGATCATCCACAGATTTGAGGTTTTAGGAAAATAAATGTATGAAATTTTAGGAAATTATATATAGCTACAATTATTAGTAATTATTATTATTATTATTATATTTGTTAATTACTAATTATTTTAACTCAAAATATAGTTTTGTATGTGCTCTTCCTACACTCTTGTGCAATATTTTTTTCTGGTTTATATTAAAATGGATGAATGATAAATACAAAAATTTAAAATTACTTGTAAATCTTGAAATAAAAGAAACGTAATTGTAAGAACTATTAGTATCGATCGTTAACATAATTTTGTAAGTTAAAAAGTATACATATACATAGAAGTTTGTTACTACCAAAGTTTGAAGGTTATGTATTTTATTCTCTACTATTATTTTTATTTTCATTAATTTATTTATCATACGTATACATTAAATTCAATGTGCGGTTATTAAAAATTATATAATATAGGCCACCTCAAAAGTTTTGTCCTAATTCTACCCCTAAGAAAATAAATCATATACAAATATATATTTATATAATGGACCAATCTTTATTACTATAATTGACATAGTTTTAGGCGGGAAAATATTTTCATCTACATTTAGCATATAATCAGCCTTTATCTATTAGCAAATTTTATATATGAACATTAATTATTTTTTGTTTACTCATTGACTAATATTCATTAGTTATAAATTGACTTAAATATAATATTGATTGATTACATATATTTTCAATAAGATCCAAATACTAATTTGGTAGTAATTTTTGACACAATTAAAAAAAACTATTCAAATTGTGAAATATTGATTTGATTAATTATATTATCATGTTATGGTTGTAGATATTAATTTTATTAATTATGTTAACCGTTCAAAAGTACTTAAAATATCTAACAAGTAATCAAAATATATGTGTTTGAATTATATTAACTTAATGAATAGTTTACAGTAATAACAAAATTCGCTAAAATATAGTCAACATCACCATTAAAAAATATATCTCCTTCGAATATATTATTTTATTAGATATACTATTGAAAATTAAATTTAATATATTAGTAAAATTATTATTTGATGGTCGAGTGAAATTAATATTATAAGTTTTACATTAGAAATATCTATATACATAAAAAAAAACGTATATTTCTTATTATATACTATTTAATAAAATAATGACTAAATAGGATAATATAGTTAAATATAATAATTAAAATTATAGCATTTGATAATAATCGAAATATATAATTTATGTAAACATTTAAATTGGATATTAATACACTCATTATGTATGTTGAATAAATTTACTACATATATAACTATAGACAAAAAATTTAAAAATAAAAATAAATAGTTTACTATAAAACAATTTGTTGCATAAGTAATGAAAAAGCTTAAACAACATGAAAGAGATGAACTTTGATTTTCATTAGTCATTGCTCTGTTTTTTTTCTCACTGCTACAATATGGCATTTTTCAGCCTTTAAATACAACTCAAAGGAATAATCTGGAACTACTGAAAACAAGGGAGAAAATCATTGGCAAATTCTATCCTCTCTCAGCTTTGTCTTTTGTGTGTGACATCATGGTGATGCCACAGGTAAAATCGGTTGAGGGAATCCCACATGCTTTTAGTCCTTTTTCCTTTGCATGGGAATGACATGTTGTCCTACAACAAACCAACTTCTTGTTTGTTTCTGTGAGGGGTCCTTTTGCAGCTCATGCAGTCCTTCACCAAAGCCATGCAGATCATTAGAAGCATAATTAAGATTAGCTTCTCTAATACTCTCCCTCAATTCAAGTGCTCATTTTGGTATAACATTTAACTTATTTCTCAGTAGCACGAAGAATTGCCCTGTTAAAGGCTTGGTGAAGCAATCTGCTATTTGATCCAAACTAGGCACATGCTGAACAAAGATTTCTCTCTTCATGACTTTATCTCTCACAAAATGCAGATCCAATTCAATATGCTTGGTTCTTGAATGTGAGACAGGGTTAGCTGCTAAGGAAACAGCACCTTGATTATCCACCCACACAACTGGAGTTCTTGAGGACTTAAAATCCAACTCACTCAATAGAGACTTAATCCATGTTACCTCACAGGTTGCATTAGCTAAGCTTCTGTACTCAGCTTTTGTACTTGATCTAGATACTGTAGGCTGTTTTTTTGAACTCCAAGACACAAGATTATTCCCAAGATAAACACAATATCCACTCACTGACTTCCTATCATCCAAGTCAGTGGCCCAATCAGCATCTGCAAAAGCATTAACACTCAACTCTTTGGATTTTGTAAACTGCAAACCATGATTTCTTGTTCCTGAAAGGTATCTGAGGATCCTTTTGACTGATTTCCAATGTTCATCCAAGGGGTTTTGCATGAACTGGCTCACCTTGTTAACAGTAAAACATATATCAGGCCTTGTGACAGTTGCATATTGTAATGCACCAACAATGCTCCTATACAATCTGTTATCTTCAAAAGGTTGGCCTTTGAATTTTGATAAATGTTGTCCTGAAAGCATTGGATTGTTCAAACCTTTGGCTTCAAACATGTTAACCCTTTTTAGAATATCCTCAATGTATGTCTCCTAACTTAGGAACAAGCCATTAGAAGTTTGAGTGAAGTGAATCCCAAGGAAGTAACTTAGAACACCAAGATCTTTCAAAGAAAAATGGTGATTTAAAGAATCAATAACCCTTTGGATTTCAGAGTTGTTGAAACCAGTAACAATGATATCATCAACATATGTTAGAACAAGGATGATAGAAGTAGGAGAATGCCTGAAGTACAAAGAAGAATCTGCTTTAGAAGTTTGAAACCCCAGTGAGAGTAGAACTGCAGCAAATTTGGATGTCCAAGCTCTTGAGGCTTGTTTTAGTCCATAGAGGGATTTGTTCAGCTTACAAACCAAACCTTCCCCTTGAACAAAACCCGGTGGTTGTTCCATATATAAGGCAGTATCAACATCTCCATTCAAAAAAGCATTATCAACATCAAGTTATCTAATGTGCCAATCATGAGATAAAGCCATGGAAAGAACAATTCTTATAGTAACTGGTTTAATAACAGGACTAAAGGTGTCTGTGTAGTCAAAACCAGCAACCTGTGTATAGCCCTTAGCAACTAACCTTGCTTTGTATTTGGCAATGGACCCATCTGCATGCCTTTTCAGT